CGTTGACACCTAATTAACACCTATTGTTAACAGGGGTGGAGTGATACTGGCAATAGCAGCACTGTAGGAGGAGGACAGCTGAAAACGGAGGCCTCCACCTCTGTTTAATGATGGACAGTCTTTCTTCACAAAAATGGCTTCTTTTACTCCTCTCTCAAACCAAYGTTCCTCTCTATCAAGAATGAGAACATCCTCATCTCTGAAAGAGTGACCGCTGGCCTGTAAATGAGTGAAAATTGCAGAGTTCTGGCCATTAGATGTAGCTCGTCTGTGTTGGGATATTCTGTTGAACAGTGGCTGCTTTGTTTCCCCGATGTATAACTGGTCGCAGTCCTGTTGTATATGCTGTTAAGTGCCAGGAGGACTGCGACCAGTTATACATCGGGGAAAGAAACCAGTCACTGTTCAAAAGAATGTCCCAACACAGACGAGCTACATCTAATGGCCAGAACTCTGCAGTTTTCACTCATTTACAGGCCAGCGGTCACTCTTTCAGAGATGAGGATGTTCTCATTCTTGATAGAGAGGAACGTTGGTTTGAGAGAGGAGTAAAAGAAGCCATTTTTGTGAAGAAAGACCATCCATCATTAAACAGAGGTGAAGGCCTCCGTTTTCAATTGTCCCCCTCCTACAGTGCTGCTATTGCCAGTATCACTCCACCCCTGTTAACAATAGGTGTTAATTAGGTGTCAACGATAGCCATGTGATGTGAGTATCAGTCACATGGAGGCAGKGCTTAAAAGCCTGAATTTTGCCTGAAACTCTCAGACTGAAGAAGTCTGTTGGAGGAGAGACGAAACGTTTCATTAGAGAAGAACCCGTCCAGAAGACCTATACAATTTTTTTCTTTTTAAAAGTCAAAACATTTATTTCACATTAGTGTGTGACTGTACATGTGGCAGCACGATGGGTCAGTGGTTAGCACTGATGTCTCACAGCAAGAAGGTCCTGGGTTCAATCCCCAGTTCGGACCTGGGGTCTTTCTGTTTGGAGTTTTCCTTGTGCTTGCCCAGGTTTTTTCCGGTTTCTCCGGTTTCCCCTACACAAGGTTCTCACACCTTGGTCAGCATCTATTTCAAAGGACTTTCCAGTACCAATTCCCTCAAATTCAATAACCACGTGCAATGACAATTACCTACTGCTACCACAGAATGTTACCAATAAACAGGTTTAATATCATGTAAATTCAATAAAAAACTGAACATAGAAGTTGTTGAGACAGAATCAGTGAAAGAAAGTGGATTAAATGTAGCTTAACCCTACATTCATATCCACAATACATGGACATGTAAATATGTCCTGGGAGGTTCGGCAGCTCAGTTGGGGCCCTTGCAGTGGCATTTGCCTGGTTAAAAAACAGTAAAAAAAGTAACCACAGTTACTTTTTAAAAGTAAACACAGTTACACAGTAAACACAAAGTGCCACATAATCACTTATCTTCAACTCAACGCTGACAATCATTACCAAGACTGGCAAAGTGTAAAGTACAGTTGAGAACTCAGAAGTCATTTGATGCTCATAAATGTTCATCTTAGTCAGTTCAAAGTCCTTTTAGGTGTCTTTAGTCAGTGTGAAAGACAACTTGTGTTGCAGAATACACAAGCTGACAAATATCTAGAATGCTTTTCCTTAATTTAAGAACTCCAAATTTTAGCATTTGTTTGGCTGTGAGCAAAGTGCAAAACCTACTTAGTCACGTGTTTGTGAATAACTTAATATACATAATAAAAAACATATTTTTTTATAATTTATACAATAAGGCATCTGCCAAGAAAGTCAAATAAAAATGACTCCAACTGACATTTTAATATAATTATGTGACGAAGATGCTTAATGTCAAACAACAAGAAATGACTTCACCTTTCTGACTCTTTGTACTTAGAGATTATACAACAAACTGCTTATTCAGCGCCCCTTCATCTAAACGGCACTCAACTTTATGAGGAGACGACAGGTTTTCTGGCAGCGCTTGTGCTCTGAGGTAGATCCACTGCAGTGGGGGAACAGTTTGCCAGAGTGGGTGCCAGCTCGAGCTGAATGTAGAGCCACGAGCTGGGCGGCTGCCTGGGTGATGTTGGTTCACTGACAAGAGGAAGGCAAGTAGTAACAAGAGTTTGGAAATCAGCCTCAGCCACACACACATGCAACACACACAACAGGAAATAAAGATTGACAAAACTAGCAAAAAAAAAAAAAAAAAGAATAGAAGAAACTAACAGAAAGTTCACAAAGTCGAGGATCACCATCGAGTTTGGATCAAAGTCACCAAAACGTGGTGTCATTTGGTTCAGCCAAGTCGGGATGCTGCAAATAAAAATGTGTCACTCTTCCATGTGAAAAATGTGAGAACATTTCTCCAACACCAGCTTTATGCTTCTCGACAGGTGTTAATGAAACATATGTTTTCCTTTCTAAAACGCAAAGGCAGCCAAATCCTGCTTCGTGTTCTGTGAGTGTGCTGATGATGGGCAAGTTAATTATATTTGTACCTTAATTAGTAAGAACAGTCCATTGACCATTAATTAGCATCATTTAGAGAAAAAAACTGGTGAAGATCAATGAGAAAATCAGAAATAAGAAATATCTAACAAACTTTTACACAATTTAAAACCAGTTTAAACAATAAAACTCTAAACTCAAAATCAGTCAAATAATTTTAATGAATGAAACTGATACTTAATAAGCATGTGATTTTTATTTATTTTTTATTATCTAAATTTTTGGCAATTCCAACAAATGTTTACTTAATTTTTTTCAAACATAAATAATTTAATAATTATTATTGACTAAGAGTAAAATAATC